ATCCTCTTTTTCTTCTGTCTTTGCCTCGAGAAGGGTGTCGACCCGCCAGTACGTCTAACGCGAACTCTCCGTTTAGCTCGCTTTAGCACGAATAACCATCTCTTCTCTCCTCCTAAAGCTAACCCTTTGACCTTTCTCTTCTCTATTCTTTTTCTTTTCTTGGAACTCTCCCCTGCCCCGAATTGCCTCAAGGGGGCTCCATCCTCCTTTTTGGCTTTCCCTTTCCCTTTCGGGCTTGTCAGCGATAAGATGGGCGCGGGCCTGGGCCTAAACAGCTTTAACCTTGCACCCGCCACTGGGTCCTTCCACTTGGATCCGTCTAATTCTGCTATCATATATGTACCCCAGTCGAGTGCCTCAACCACTCTGTAAGGTCCCATCCATATGTTGGCGAGTTTTCCGGTCCAGGTCCCATCCATACAGTACCTCTCGACGTCCTTATACTGTCATTTCCACCAGTACAGCCGGCGTATCTTTTCATAGGTTCCTTTAACTCCCCTGTGTCCTCCGACTACCCCGTCGTGAAGCTCCGCAACTATCGTCTGTCTCTCCTCAGGATCACAGACTACTCATAAGGGCATTCCCGAACCTACTGGCCTTCGGAAAAGGTGGCCCGCTCTAAGGCAGTACTGGGCTGCTTGCCTCCAGATATCTGAATCTTGACTCTCCTCTCCCGTCAGTTGTAGTCCGATCATTCGGTACTTGCCCTCGTAAAGATTAACTAGAAATCTCTCGGCGCGTCTCGGCTCTGCCATTGTCAGGGCCCCAGCTACTATCGGACGCTCGAGAGGGATGCGTGAAAGTTCATCTGCCACGGCCTTTTTAGTACCAGATATCCTCTCAACCGTGTAATCGTATAGCCGAATCCGTATTAACCATCGGGCGATGGTCGGGTCCGTCAGACTAAAGTCCTTCTGGAGGACAGAGGCAACCGCGGTGGGGTCTACTCTCAAGATGAACCGTCGCCCATAGATATAGTGTCTGAACGTGTCTAAACACCGGAGAACAGCTAACACTTCCTTCTTGAATTGACTGTAGTTACGCTCAACCGTATTAAATGTTCTACTCTCAAATCTTAACGGTCTTTCCTTCCTTCCAGCGTCCTTCTGAGACAACAACCCACCAACCGAACATGGTCCCGCATCCGTGGACACTATGAAAGATCTCTCGGTCTCATCGTCAAAGAATGGCACGCCCAGTACGCGTCCTCCCTCCTTAAATTCGTCTTTAAGGTCTTGCATAGCCGTTTCCTGCGAGGAACCCCAACATAATTTCTCAGTCTTTCGAAGGAGTAACCTCAATGGCTCAGCCTTCTCCGCATACCCTCGTATGAATATACGCCAGTATCCGACCACCCCCAAAAACTGTCGGACCTCGGTTGGACTATGTAACGGTGACGGCCAGTCCAGGAGTTTGTCTAACTTCGCCGGATCTGCTCGGCGTCCTCTCGAGTCCCAGATAAAGCCCAAGATTTTAATAGTCGAGACGACCCATCGGTTCTTTGTTCCGCTGACCGTCAAATTCGCATCGTCCAGCTGCTCAAGTACCGCGCAAATATCTGTTAGGTGCTGCTCGACGAATCTTCTAACTTCTGGTACAACCTCTGTATCATCCTTGTCTACTGACCTTTTTATAGGAAAGTCATCCAGAAAAACCTCAACCTTATCAGGGATGAAGTCCTTGAGGATGACTACCATGGCTCTTTGAAAAACAGCTACCCGAACAACTATCATCTGTATCAGTCCCAATGACGTATGCATAGCCGTGAGGTGCCTGTCCCTAGGATCAAGCGGTACCTCATCATAACCTGAGAACAGGTCACAGACCGAATAAATTGACCTGCCTGCGGCGCCTTCTGCTAGTAAATCGACGTGCGGCACGGAGCCCACGTCTCGTATCGTCACCGCGTTGACCTTCTGAAGGTCTTGGATCCATCGGATCTTGCCATTCGGCTTTCGTAGGAAGAACCACCGATTAGCATATGCGCTATCAGACGGCTCCGCTACATGGGAAACCATCTTTTCTTTCAGGAAGGCGATAACTTCTTCCTTCTCCTTCTGGGCGTATTTCCATCTTGCGTCATTCCAAGGAACATGTGGAATCGCGTAAATCCTCGCTGGCTTAGCGTATCGAGGGTCAACCCTACCGCACTCCGCGTCGCTGAAAGTTATTGCCTTATCACATGTCTTCAGAATTTCTATCACACGTCCGCGCTCCTGTGGGGTCAGATTTTCGTCTCCGATGTCCATCGCTGTTATCCTCTCTTCCGTTAGGCGTTGTGGCTCCTTTTTTTTTCTTTCTTTGATTTCTTTCGCGATCTCTTCTTCTGATACCCCTTCCAGTGCCGATCGCTCGCGGCCCACCGCCGTTGGCTTAACTTTTTGAGCTACTCGCTTGTATCGCTTGGGAGGTCCCCATAGGAGGCCGTGCCCTTAAAAAAGACACGGATACCACACCGCCAAATTCCTCATCTTTTTCCTTTGGGTACGAGTTGCCGTCCACTATTAGCCGACTCCCTAAATCTTCCAACTCCACGATCCGTCCTTCTTCCTCTGTGAGCAGTGGTCCATATCTCTTCTCGCGAAATTGCACCGCGCGGCCGGAGATAGGTAACGACTTAATCTGATCACTGGGTCTTGCACCCACAGCGAGAGCTGCTCTGTTCCTCGGGTCCCGAGGCTCCACTGTCTCAATCATTACCCGCGTCCCGTGTGGCTTCCTAATGGACAATATTTGGCTCCCATCAGGTCGCTCTATCGTCACCGCATGCACGTGGCTCAGCCACGTTCGACCCAAGAGCAGGTCGGAGCTGCAGTTCTTGATCGCAAAAACAGGCAGGGTCACTCGTACCCCTTGGACCTCTATGGCTGCCTTGTGACAAACCCCAGTGATCTGTTGCTTTCTCCCATCAGCCGTCTCTATCTCGAATAGGTATGACCTATCGAGGCCCAGTCCAACCTGTACTGCCAGGTCCTCGTCTACGATGACAGCCTCACTGCCGTTATCGATTACAGCATCGAGTACCGCTCCATCGTTTATAATCGTCTCCACGGCTCTGCTACCAAGTATATAGAACTTGTCTGGAGGCACACCTTCCATTCCATCGAGAAGGACTGTCGCCATGCGATCCGCTCTGGCAGTCACCCCCGTTACTGCTACTGTAGAAGCTTCCACCTTAGGGGCCCCCTGACCCTCCTCTGATAGAGGTATGCGAGTCTTCCGCGTGATCATCTGGAATCCATCACGAGCCGGCTTCGATGTCGCTAGGTACTCCAGAATAGAGCACTGCATGGGTTGCCGAAGGGCCCGCCTCAGTGGCTCGACCGTGTCAATCTCGTCCAGCGAACTCTTCATTAAGAACTTCTTCACTCCCCGCTTTAGCGGCGAAAGGATAACCTCCTCTACATCGACCCGCTGTCCGTCCTTCTCCGCCATCACGTAATCCGTGTCAATCTTTTTCGATGTAGACCCTCTTGCTGAATTGGTGGCTGCCACCCTTATGGGTGTGGTCGCGATATCCCCCTCAAAGGTTATCTTGATGCTCTGGCTCCTGACTGGCTCCATTCCTTTACTCGTCTTTATTCTCCGTGCTTCGACATTCTCCTTCATCGAAGGGAACATCGATATATCTCCCAGATCATCTGCCCACTTGACGTACTTGCGGTCGTCAAGCACGACAAGTCCCTCATCTATTGCCCGTTTGAGGTCCGGGCAATCCCTCTTGATATGATCTTCTCCTCTACAGTAGACGCATGAGTTCTTGGGAGTAGATGCCCTGTCGTCTACGCCTCTAGAAATCGAACTCCTGGCGGCCTTGGGGTCAGGCGACTTGGGATATGGTTCTGATGAGACGCCATATCCCCTTCTCTCATTCCGACCGCGCGGATCGTTGCGCCGGTCTCCTCCAGACCCTCCTTGCTCATACCGCCCTCGCGAATCATTCCGGCGGTCCCCCGAGTCATATCGTCATCGTGACTCATCGCGTCGGTCCCCTTGATTGTACCACCCCCGCGACTCGTCGCGCTGCTCTCTCGCATCTCCCCCGCGCTCAAACCGTCCACGCGACCCATCTTATCGTTCCCAGTCCCAATCTCCTCTTTCATATCTACTTCCTCTGTAGCCATCTCGACCCGGCCTCTCGTGTTTGTCGTCCCTATATCCATCTCGGTCCGATCTCTCGTATCTGTCGTCCCTATATCCATCTCGTCGGCCCTGATTTGTCTCGCATCGGCTGCGGGAGTCGCCTCTACCCCGATCGGCCTCATAGCGAGGGCTTCGCGGGTAATCATTCAGCCTCCTTGCTCGCACAAACGGCTCGCGATCTCTGCGGTCTCGGTCTATCTCATTGTCCCTATGTCGCCATGGCTCATCGTCTCTCTCTCTTCCCCTCGTACGATAATCAGTCAGCGTCCGAGGATTTCTATCCTCGACACTCCTCTAGGGATCGTTGTTCCTACGGTCCCAGCGAAGTGAATAGGGCCCTCCAGGTTTGTCCCGGTAGGCCGTGGCCCCTGTAGTGGTCACAATCTCTGTAACCTGTCTCGTTAATCCCTTCACCATGTCCCGTATCTCCTTCACTTCCTCAGCCACGGCCTCATTCTTCTCCGACCAGGGAT